CTTCACAACCTGTAGAGGGGGGGATAAAAGGGAAGCAACAACTGCATGCTCACAACGTGCTTCCTGGCTGAGGATCCCCTCCCTGTGTGGTGGGCGAGGATTCCTGCTTTGGGGATTTGTGGCGTGATCAGCCTGAGCCAAAGCCAAGCCTCACCTGAGCTCATTCCTGAGCTTCTGCTGAGCTCCTCGTCCTGAAACACCAGCCGAGGGGTTTCAGGTGTGAGAATCCTGCTTTTCCAGTGTTAATTTAGCTGAAATTGAGGTAGAAACTGAGCTGCAGAGTGTGTCCGGGGCGTAAATCCTGCTCCAAGGGCTCCGTGTCCATCTGTGCAAGAGTGTGCCTTGGAATGAAGCTTCCAGGTGCTCCTGCCTGGTCTCTGCCTTGTGTTTTGGTGTGAGTTAATCCCGACTAACAGAGCTTGTTCTGACAATGGGGGATGCCTGGGGCACAGGTACCGGATGCTCTCTTCATCCGTGACTTTTCCAACCCAAGCCGATGATGCGATTTTAGGAGGGCTTGAAGTGTTGATGGGGCCAGAAACGAGACCTTCACACTGCAGCAGGCACCCAGCAGAGCTTGAACCCTGTCTTAGGCCCATGGAGCATGGAGATGGAGACTCCAACACTGTTCCTGCCATTCCCCCATTGCTGCCTTTGGTTCCATCTTCTTTGTGTGGTCTCTTCTTCAAAGCTCCTTGTGGTCCAGGGGATATCTGTGCTCCCTGGCAGTGCTCAAGGCCAGGTTGGACACAGGGGCTTGGAGCAAGCTGCTCTAGTGGAAGGTGTCCCTGCCTGTGGCAGGGGTTGGAGCTGGATGAGCTTTAAGGTCCCTTCCAATCCAAGCCATTCCGTGATGCTGTGGAATGAAGCAGGGTGCTGAGCAGAGGGTGTGGGTGGCCACGTGTGGGATTCAGTGTGAGAAATGTGCTTCACATCCTAAACCATTGCATTGCACCACAGGAGGTTTCTCTTCTTCTCAGTGTTGCTTCTCCCTTCCTGCTTTGTCCAGAGAGACCCAGCCTCCTGCAGACCTCCAGGTCCTGCCAGGACACTTGTTTGTCCAGACAAAGATGTGATGGCCCTGTTCAATCCCTTCTCTCTCTGCTAACCATGCCTTCCCTTTCCTTCCCCAGCTGACCGGTTTGGGTGCCCCCCATCCCAAGAAGCAGCAGGGCTGAGAGAAACCGCATGATCTGAAAGCTAAAGCCCAACAGATTATGAACCAGTTTGGTCCCTCGACCTTGATCAACCTCTCCAGCTTCTCCTCCATCAAGCCAGAACCAGCCAGCACCCCCCCTCAGAGCTCCATGGCCAACAGCACCGCCGTGGCAAAGATGCCTGGAACACCCAGTGGGGGAGGCCGCCTCAGCCCTGAGAGCAACCAGGTAACTGCGTTCCTGACTGCAGGACAGCACAGGAGCAGCCCCCAGTGCCTAAAGGGGGCTCTGCCGTATAGGGTGGCAGCGGTGCTGACCTGCTTGTGCGCTTGATGGGGAGTCCCTGGTGTGTATCAGTGCTGCTGCCCATCAGCCCCGGGATGTGCCCTCCCTGGGAATTGTGCTCATCCCTTTAAACAAACCGGGTGTGATGGCACCAGCAAGGGCAGGAATTCCCTACGTGTGTCTTGGTTCAGCTGGCAGATCCATGGGGATAACTTGCATCCAGATCCTATAAACCCCAGTTTCCTGCTGATGCTGAGCATCAGCAGGATTTCTCCTCCCTGCCCTGTTGGGGCTGTTCCCTTCTGCCCCTGAGTGACCCCACACTCAGATCCCTCTGTTTCCCATTGGAAGCACTAAAGCTGATAAGAGCCAGAGCCATGGAAACACTTCCCTTGTGCCCTGGGCACAGATTTAGTCACTGATAGGTGCTTGCACTTGCTGTCTGCCTCTCAAGGCTTCCAGTTCTGCCTTTGTCCCTTCTTGCTTCAGCATTGCAGCACCTGTTGAGTGCAGGAGACTTATTTCTCCTGGCCTGCTGCATCCTGTTCAGAGCAGCTGCTGGTGCTTGAAAACGGCTCTTTAGCACCTCCTAGTTCTTATCTCTGCCCTTCCTGAACTGATCCTTGTATGACTTGGGCCTGGGAGGCAGCTGGGGAGGAGGCTTTGGCAGAAGCAGGGCAGTAAATGGCTCCTCTTCTGCACACTCTCAGGTTTTAACCAAGAAGAAGTTGCAGGACCTGGTGCGCGAGGTGGATCCCAACGAGCAGCTGGATGAGGATGTGGAGGAAGTAGGTACCAGCGTGTGCCAGGGGCTGCAGGAAGAGCAGATCCAGGCTTTTCCATGGATGCTTTGTGCAGAGCAGGGAGGGCTGGTTCACTGGACACTTGTGAGTTCTCACGTTCGCTGCAGCCTGCAACCATCCATTGGTGTTGCAGTGCCAAGAAGGGGTTTCCAACAGGAATTGCAGCAAACCCCTTTGAAATGGGAACTTCTGAGGGTTCATTTTCATACTTGGTGCACAACTTCAGCTGCTCAGCACTGAGAAAACCGGTTCTTGTCCTTGTCCTGCCCCAGATGTTGCTTCAGATCGCTGATGACTTCATTGAGAGCGTGGTGACAGCGGCCTGTCAGCTTGCACGGCACCGCAAGTCCAACACCCTGGAAGTGAAGGATGTCCAGCTGCATCTTGGTGAGTGAGCTGGGGTTTGATTGCAGAGAATTGCGGACTGCTTTGTGTTGGAAAGGAGCTTAAGGCTCATCCAGAGCCACGGGCAGGGACCCCTTCCACTGGAGCAGCTTGCTCCAAGCCCCTGTGTCCAACCTGGCCTTGAACACTGCCAGGGATGGGGCAGCCACAGCTTCTCTGGGCACCCTGTGCCAGCGCCTCAGCACCCTCACAGGGAAGAGCTTCTGCCTGAGAGCTCATCTCAGTCTCCCCTCTGGCAGGTTCAAGCCATTCCCCTTGGCCTGTCCCTACATCCCTTGTCCCAAGCCCTTCTCCAGGTTTCCTGCAGCCCCTTCAGGCACTGGAGCTGCTCTCAGGTCTCCCCTTCAGGAGCCTTCTCTTCTCCAGGCTGCCCCAGCCCAGCTCTCTCAGCCTGGCTCCAGAGCAGAGCTGCTCCAGCCCTTGCAGCAGCTCCGTGGCCTCCTCTGGCCTCACTCCAGCAGCTCCACGTCCCTCTCATGCTGGGGCTCCCTTTCCTCGCTGGTGTGTGGATCCCCAGCACGTCTCCAGCACTGCTGTGCTGTCAGGGGGCTTGCAGTGATGGGGCTGCTCTTGCAGTCGGGGCAGAGCTGAGCTGTGCTCTCTCTTCTAGAGCGTCAGTGGAACATGTGGATCCCAGGCTTTGGTTCTGAAGAGATCAGGCCCTACAAGAAAGCCTGCACTACAGAAGCTCACAAACAGGTGAGGAGCCCATGGCGCACGTGTGATATGGGGAGCGGTGGTAGTGGTACTGGACTCGTAGCACGAGGTGAATTTGTAGCCTCTTCCACCTGCTTTGAACTGGAAATCACTTGGTTTTGCTCTTTTGTGTTGGCTTCTAAGTGCATGGTCAGAGCTGGGGAAGGAGCTGTTGGATGATTCCCATAGAATCACAGCATCACAGAATGGTGTGGGTGGAAGGGACCATAAAGCTCATCCAGTGATGATGTCTGGTGGACCCCTTCCACTGGAGCAGCTTGCTCCAAGCCCCTGTGTCCAACCTGGCCTTGAACACTGCCAGGGATGGGGCATTCAGCCCATCCCAGTGTCCCACCACCCTCACAGGGAAGAATTCTTTCCTAAGGTCCCATCTCAGTCTCCCCTCGGGCAGGTTAAAGCCATTCCCCTTGGCCTGTCCCTACATCCCCTGTCCAAAGCCCCTCTCCAGGTTTCCTCTAGGCAGTTTTGCACCTCCCCTCCTGAGGTTCTGGCAGGGACAGGAGCCCCCGCGCTGGGCTCTGATCGCTGCGCTCCCCATCCCTCCGTGTTTCCCATGCTGAGGAGCACAGACTCTGCCTTTGCCTCTGGCTCCCACTTGGGACCCCATTAAGATTCCAGCAGACCTGCCAGACCTGTGTGGAGCGAGTCGGGCAGCGCCTGTCCCCAGGGCACCCCAGACACCCCCACTCCAGGCTGCTCTGCAGGAGCCTGCTCCCAGGCACCCGCCTTCCCAAGGGATTTCTCTTCCTCTCTTGCAGAGAATGGCGCTGATCCGCAAAACCACCAAGAAATAACGCAGGGCTGAGCCGGGAGGGAGGAGCCGCGTGCGCCTGTTTGGGATCTGCCTCCGCCGGAGCCCCCCCAGCACCACGCAGGGGTCGGGGGTTTCATGCTCCACACAGAAGCATCGGTTTCCCCTTGTGGTGCAGCAATACCTGGAGTTCCCGAGGAGATTCCAGCCCCTTCCTCCCGCCGCGGGTCTCGGAAACAAAGACTCTTTGTGACTTGAACGTGGGTTTCTCCTCAGTGATTATCCAGGGGACAGCGTTTGAGCGTGTGTGGGACAGTATTAGAAGCATCCGTAGAGGTTTTCGTGCCCTCCCTCCTGCCCCGGTACTTTGTAATGTCAGTGTTTCTATAAGGACTTGCCTTTGTTTTACAGGAATAAAGACGTTAATCTACAGCCTGGGGCTCTGCTGGGGTGTGCAGAGAGAAAGGGGCAGCAGCTCCATCACCGGGGTTTGGCTCTGGTGCAAGATCCCTTTTGGTGGTGTTAGAGAGAAGGGAAGGGGTTTGGGCTGGTCTCCGCTGTGTGGACAGCGGGGCAGGCGCCGTCCCCTCCTGCCTGCAGCCCAGGGTGTCTGGATCATGGGATGTGGTGCCTGAGGATGAGCAATGGAGCCGGGCTCCCAGCGTGGGGTGTGCAGGAGGGGCTGCTGGACGTGGCCCTCTGAGCATGAGGGTTGGGCAGTAAAAGGGGTCCAGACGAGCCCTTGGCCGAGGGGGAGGCGGTGACACCCCCAGGGGCTGGGCCCAGCCTCAGAACAGAAGAGGGACACGGGTGACACCCACCCCTGCCCTGTCCCCCCCCTCCCCACTCACACACAGGCAGAAGCACCGAACAGGGGTGTTTAATGCGCTCCGTGCCCCACAGCGCCCGGGTCCCAGTGCCCACCTCTAGCACGAGCAGCTCTTCCACCTCTTCTCCTTCTCCGTCCCCGCAGCCCGGAGCGGCGCCGGCAGCGGGACGCTGCTCTTGACCCCATCCCAGGCCTCGCCGGCTGCCAGCTGCCCTGTCCGCAGCGCCTGGTAGATGGTGACCGTCAGCATCCGGAAGGCCTGGACCACGTTGGTGGCGTCCTTGGCCGAGGTCTCGATGTACGGCACCCCCAGCGCCGCCGCCAGCCTCTCCGCCTCCCTCCTGCTCACGCGGCGCTGCGCAGCCAGGTCGCTCTTGTGTCCCACCAGCAGGAAGACGATGCGGGACGGGGGCACCGTGTCCGTCACCTCCCGGTGCCAGCGCCGCACGCTCTGGAAGGACGCGGGGTTGGTGAGGTCGAACAGCAGCATCCCCCCGGCCGAGTTGCGGTAATAGGAGCGGGTCACGGACCTGGGGCAACGGGAGAAAGGGGGGGGAGCATCGCCCCTGCCTGCAGCACAGCCCCTGAGCTCCCCCATCCCCTCCAGCCACCATCCTGGTGCTCCCCCAGCCCCTGCAGCGGTCCTGGTGCTCCCCCATCCCCTGCAGCACAGCCCCTGAGCTCCCCCAGCCCCTCCGGCCACCATCCTGGTGCTCCCCCATTCCCTCCAGCCATGGTCCTGGTGCTCTCCTGTCCCCTGTGGCAACGGTCCTGGTGCTCTCCCATCCCCTGCAGCCATGGTCCTGGTGCTCCCCCATCCCCTGCAGCCATGGTCCTGGTGCTCTCCTGTCCCCTGCGGCCACGGTCCTGGTGCTCTCCCATCTCCTCTAGCCATGGATCCTGGTGCTCTCCCATCCCTTACATCCATGTCTCTTGAGCTTGCCCATCCCCTCATGGGGCAAAGAGGTGCTTGGGAGCTCCTGACCCCCCTTAGGGCTGGATCAAGGGCTCCGTTCCTTAGGGACGCCCTTGGCTTTGACTCATCTGAGCCCCCGCAGCCTGCCCGGGCGTTGTGGTTCCATCCCCAGCAAAGGGACGCCCATGGGGGTTGGCTCACAGCTCTCTAAGGCAGGGGCCCCCATGGGCAGAGCAGGACTCACCTGAACCTCTCCTGCCCGGCCGTGTCCCAGAACTGCAGCTTCACCCTCAGCCCCGGCTCCAGCTCCACGAACTGGACGTAGAAATCCACCCCCACCGTCTGGTTGATGGCATCCAGGAACACCCCCTCCGTGTAGCGCCGCAGCAGCGAGGACTTGCCCACCGTGGAGTCCCCCAGCATGATCACCCGGAACTGGAGCTGCCACCGCGGCTCCATCGGCTCCTCCGGCCCTGCACCGGGAGCGTGTACGGGCAGGCAGGAGCTGGCTCCTCCACCCAGGAGGCGTTCCCGGCCCGCCATTGGAGCCCCTTTTATCCTGGCTCCATCCGCAGGGATTCGCTCAGGGGGAGCCTGGTCCTGTTTACCCCATCAAGGGACGGACATGGGGGGGGTTACCCCCCCCCCCCAAAGCAGAGCATCCCCCAGTGCTCAGCCTGGAGAAGAGAAGGCTCCTGAAGGGGAGACCTCAGAGCAGCTCCAGTGCCTGAAGGGGCTGCAGGAAACCTGGAGAGGGGCTTGGGACAAGGGATGTAGGGACAGGCCAAGGGGAATGGCTTGAACCTGCCCGAGGGGAGACTGAGATGAGCTCTTAGGCAGAAGCTCTTCCCTGGGAGGGTGCCGAGGCACTGGCACAGGGTGCCCAGAGAAGCTGTGGCTGCCCCATCCCTGGCAGTGCTCAAGGCCAGGTTGGACACAGGGGCTTGGAGCAAGCTGCTCCAGTGGAAGGGGTCCCTGCCCGGGGCAGGGGTTGGAGGTGGAGGAGCTTTAAGGTCCCTTCCTACACAAACCATGTTGCTCCATGCCATGGGTTGAGTCTTGATGTGTCCCAGCGCTCAGAGCAGCCTTTATTTAGTGTGGAATAGCCTCACGTTCATTAAATCCACCTCTTTAGGGAGGTGCTAGTTATTCAAAGCCCCCACATTAAGGCTTTAAATAACCCTTGCAGGGACGCAGCCCCGGGTGCTGGTGAGGTTTGGGGGTCACCTCAGCAACCTGACAGCCCCTCGGCCCCTTCCCTTGGGGAGTTTTGGGTCCCCCAACCAGACTGGGGGCTCCAGAGTAGCCCTGTGGGGTCCCTCCATAGCCCCCGAGAGCCCAGAGTGCAGTGGGGATGTGTCCCCCCTTTAAGGGCTGCATGGACACGGGGAATCCCTCCTCCCTGCAACAGCTCTGGGGCTCTTTGCTCTCCATCCTAAGGGAATGGGCAACAGACGTTGGCAACGTTGAAGGTGTCATCTTTGTCCACGCAGGTGCCATTCCAGGCACCCCCATGCCCAGCCACCAACGGGAACCCACCTCGAAGGATCAGGTGGAAGAAGCCATTAGGATTTAGGGCTCATGCCAGCAGGATGCAGGTGCCCCGGCAGCAACCCAAACCCCAGCACAGGACACAGCACAAGCTTCATGTGATTGTTTATTCACCCTCCAGCATTCCATACCCAGACCCTCCCCTCCAAGCTCTTCTCCTTGGAAAACTCCAGTCCTTCCACGCAGGGCTGCAGCAGGAGCCAGGCAGGGTCCCTCTTGGTGGGTGCAGTGAGTGGAGCTCAGGAAGGAGCCAGGATGTGGCTCTGCAGAGCTCCTGCAGCCCTCAAGGGCCAGCTCACACCTCAGCTCCATGCAGACCTGAAGAGGGGTAACGGATAACACAGCTCAGTGAAGGGCAGCAGCTCCCAGTGCCACAGGATTCCCACCTATCCCTTGGCTCCTTCATGCCTGGCCTCAGCCCCATATCCGCAGGACTCATCCAGCAGTCTCCAAAGGAAGGATCATCACGGACCAGGCTGTACCCAGAGGGCTGCCCAGTTAAGATCCCAATTAACAAAGCCCATCATTCCCAGATTGAGGAGTGGCCACTTCCAGCAGGGGCAGAGGTAGCTTGAACCATCCCTTCCCCCTCAGGGCTGGTGAGATCCCACTCAAACCACCAGGGACACTCACCCGGTTCCACGTCAGCTTCCCACGATGCAGGCCCTAAGGCAGGCAAAGCCTATCCCTTCCCCACAGAGAGGGGCTCAGCAGCTCTTTTCCACCAAGTAATTCCTGTTAAAACCAGCCCCAGTGAGGATGTGACACTGGTGGGATGCTGCCCACCAGGAACTGAGGCATCAGATCCAGCCCAGGTGAACCCCAGCCTCCTGCTGTGCCCCACCTTCCTCCATGCTCACTCCCACCCCAGCCTTCCCAAAGGAAGGCCAGCACAGGCTGTCTTCTGACTGGCCCCTCTCCCAGCAGCACTGCACCAGCACAGGATGAGACCAGCCGGAATGTTGCTTTTCCTCCTTTTTCGACCACGAGATCGGTATTCAGATCTGATGGGAAAGGGATCCGGAGGGACGGGACACAAGAGCCTGGAATGAGGGCATCCCATTCTCACCTGAGGCCTAAGCACCGGCAGGTCACGGTCATCATCCAGCAGCCAAATGACCCTGGAGGAACAAGAACACCCCCACATGAGGAGCAGGCTGCAGACTGCTGGGTACACCCCACATTCCTGGGGGTCTATAGGAGGGGCGAGTGACAGCAACGGGCAGGAGAAGCCCAGCAGTCAAAGACCTTCCATTGCTCTGGCATGTTGTTGGAGAGCTGTAGCCACTGCGCTGAGCCACAGCTCTTGGATGAACATGCCCAGGCAGCACGGAGCTCCCCACCAAAGGCTGGGATGGCTCCAAGCAGCAGGAGGGATCCAGCAGCTTCAGATCGGGTCTGGTTCCTGGTTCTGCCCCAGCGATGCTGGGCAGAGAAGTCCCTTTATCCCAAGGGATGCATGACACCGACAGAACAAGAACCAAGGGGGGCCTGCAGTTCTTCATGCCTCGTATTAGGAACAGGGAATCCCTGTCTGCAGGATGAGCTTGTGGAGGATCCACAGCCCCTGCAGTGAGCCCCACGCTGGCACCACCTGGTGCTCAGGCCAGGGGGGCCATGAAGGCAGCCCCATTCCCAATGGGAGACTCCTGGATTGCACATCTCACCTGTCCAAGGCTGAGCTGGGCATCAACCATCCCATGCCCTAGGATCGCCTTCCATGTTGGGATGCTGCTGGGGAAGAACAGAGCCTTGAGCTTCACAGATGACAGAGGGACCTTAAAGCCCATCCAGTTGCAACGAGAGACACCTTCCACTTGCTCCAAGCCCGTGTCCAACCTGGCCTTGAACACTGCCAGGGATGGGGCAGCCAAACCTGCTCTGTTCCCCCCATCCCAGTGACCCAGCACCCTCACAGGGAGGAATTCCTTCCTAAGATCCCACCCCAGCCTCCCCTCTGGCAGGTTAAAGCCCTTCCCCTTGGCCTGTCCCTGTCCCTCCATCCCGTGTCCGAAGCCCCTCTCCCGCAGCCCCTCCGCCGGACGCCCCTGTGCCTTCCTGCCATGTTGCCGCTCGGTTACGTTGGCTCAAACGGAGCGGCGACCGTCGAGGAAAACCCTTCGCTCTCGGCTCCTTTTTGACTGCATCTGCCACAGCACCGAGACAGACGCAGCTTCGATAGGGCCGGCCCGGGCTCCCCCGCCCCGCCCCGCAGCCGCTTCCCCCGGCGGGGCCCTCAGCTCAGCCCGCTCCGGTCACTCACCCGCGGTGGCATCGTCCGCCCCTGCAACCGGGAGCGGAGCCCTCCGGCGGCCGCGCTGCCCTTCACAGCCCATGGGAGGGCCCCGAAGCACCGCGGGGAGCGCGGATGGCAGCCAATGAGGGAGGATGAGGACGGATGGCGACGGATGAAGGCGGATGGCGGCCGTCCCGCAGGCCCCGCCGCCACCGCAGCCGCCATCGCAGAGAGAGGCGGAAGTCACCTCGCGGTGGGCTTTTATAGCGCGGCAGCGCGGGGGCTGATTGGCCGCTGGGGCTGGGCCCCGCCGCAGAGCCTTATGGGAGTTGTAGTTCGTTCCGTCGCGGTACCCCCGCGCCCGCCCCAAGGGCTCAGGGCTCCCCTCTGCCCCCGCAGCAGCAGGGGATGGCCCAGCCCAAGAGCAAGGCTGGGTTTGATACGCGCCCCAGCCCACCTGAGCAGCCTCCAGGCTGGGAGGCACAAGGAATTCCCTCTCCTCCTCCCCACATGGGGTTGCTCTCCCCAAAGGGGATGGAAGCACCTATATTGTCCTACAGCAGACACGTTTTTCCTTCCTTCCTTCCTGAAGCTGGGGAGCACACCCGACCCTTGGGGAATGGAAGGAAAGTTCTTGGAAGCAAAAGCCTACCTGCCAAAGCAATCCTTCTGTTGGGCTCCTGGCTCATGATCCATCATCAATGGAAAGGATTACAACCAACTGGTTTGGAGCAACTGCTGGAATTCCTGCAGGTGCTGATGCCACAGCCTCCAGGAGAAATGGGGCTGAGAAGCCGGAGACTGCTTCCTGCCCCTGAGCCTGGGGAAAGAGCAGAAAGGATGAGGGGCAACAACAATTAGTTTTAAACCTGAGCAAAGGACACAGATGAAAACCATTCACAGCGCTCAGGAATCACCCTTGGAGCTGGTCACCCCCCCACAAACGTGCCAGGTTAGCAACCAAATCAACCTGGTCCTCATTTAAAGCACAAGCCTGGAAATGAGCCCCAGCCCGTGTGTGGTCAAGCTCTTCTAAAGACAGCCCTGGTCAAAGCTGGTCCCATCCTCCACCTCCTGCATGGATCCTGTGGCTGCTTTGCCAAGGCACGAGGCGTTCATTCCCTGAGTGTCCTGGATTCTCCTTGGCACTCGTGCAAAGGGAACCTCGAAATCTCCCTGTCAAATCCCAGGCCAGAAACTGGGAGATCGCTGTAGCAAAAGAAAGAAACCCTTCCCAAAAATCCAAGCCTTGGCAGACATCAAGTGTTTGGCAAGAGAATCTTCCAGCTGGGTGAACGCCCCAAACCTGTGATGCTCAATAGACCTCAACCCAGCATGAGATGGTGGATGGAGTTGCAAAGAGGAGCAGAGAAAATCCCATGCCTGCACTGGGGAGGCCCCGATGAAACCTCCTGGTCTGGCTGGGAGCCTCATGCCAGTCTCTTTGGTAGCATCCACAGGATGGGGAGCACTGGGAGATGCTCCTGCTCTATGGAAGAGGCTGCAATTCCCATCACCAGACAGGTGAGAGCAGACATCCCGCAGGAAAGTGCTCTGTGAGGAGCTAACCCTGAGGAAAAGCAAGGATGAATCAGTAATCCAAGCGGGTTGCTGTGCTCCCTAGGAATCCTGTGTGCCGCGGGGACAAGCCAAGCCCTTGCCATGAACAGCTCTATCACTTATCACCTTACCTGTGTTATCTACCATTGCTTTGAGCCTGGAAACGTTAGAGCAGAAGCACGGAATGAAATCCAGAAGCTGGTGCATCCAGAATGCTTCACAAGATGCAGAGAGCAAACCTGGGAGGCAGAGATTCCTCTCAGGTCTTGTTTAGCACAAGCTGGGCATGAGGAAAGCCAGTGTTGAGAAACTGAGTATGCAAAGATCAGAGCCAAGCATCCCTGCTCCTTGAGAAGGATTCAGAGAAATACCAAAGGGTGTTTGGTACTTCTTGATGTGCGGGATAGGAACCATCTCCTGAAACTGGCCCAAGCAACAGGAATTTTCTTACTCAGACACACATGGAAAACATCATCACTGATTCCTATCAGAGCTCTCAACCCACACACTGGGCTGCACTAGTGCAGAGCCACGTTAGCTAAAGGAATGCTTTCCTTCCTCATCCTACTGGTCAGCATTCCTCACAGGCCACCCCCACTGCTTATGTCAAGCTTGGAATTAAACACATGCAATGGCAACAGTCCACCCCACAGCCTTGCAGCTTCTGCTTTGGAAACCACCCCTGCTTCATGCCCAACAGGAACACCCACATCTTTCCAGCTCTGCACTTGGCCCAACATTTTTTAGTCTATGTAATTCCAACAGTAATCCCAGCAAACTGAGAGGAATCTAAATTGGATCATCACATCTTCATCAAGTAACGTAGGAAGTGTTCTTGTAATTACTAGTAAATGCTGCATGCTGAAAGGCAGAGTATTTCATCGTCTCCACTGCATGTTTTGATGCAATGTTCACAGAATCATAGAATCCCAGATGTGTTTGGTTTGGAAGGGACCCTAAAGCTCATCCAGCTCCAGCCCCCCACCTTCCACTAGAGCAGGTTGCTCCAAGTCCTATTCAACCTGGCCTTGAACACTGCCAGGGATGGGGCAGCCACAGCTTCTCCATGCATCCCATCTCAGTGTCCCACACCCTCACAGGGAAAAGCTTCTGCCTCAGATCTCATCACGGTCTCCCCTCTGTTACCTTTTTAAATGTAATTTTAGAGAATTTCATAAGCCCCCTGAGCTGTGATATCATCTGCTTTGGATTTCGTCTTTAGCACGTAAAGATAAAAGCAGGATTTACCTTACTACACGGAGTCCTTGTCTTTCATCTGGTGTTAGGCTAAATGGCAATTAATCAGAGCTTTTCCTGTAGCCATCCACGAGCAGCAGAATCCCACACTGTTTGACTTGGATTCCAAAGCACAAACTCTACAAACTGCAGGTGACGGGTTTGTAGCACCACATAGAAGTCTCTTCTGTGCTTCAGATGCTGCAATGACGGCCAGGAGCTGAAAATGAACATGAAGATGAGTAAGTGATCCACAGGAAACAGTGTGGAGAGATTAACAGCTCAACAGAACGTTGGCTGAGAGTCTCACAAACAACCCCCCAAAACTGGCTCCTGCATCAAGGGAACGTGGCCCAAAGCCTCACGTCAACCCTCGCTCCAAAAAGGAAATGCAGGAGCTATTTTCAGCTCTGCAGCAACAGTAAACAGGCGTCGGTGGGTATCCTCTGCTGGCCTCTGTACTCCCAAACTGTTCTTTCTACACCTAGGGAAGGGCCCGAGGGTCTGGCTATACACAGCTCTGCTGGAACGTGGGATGCCCCATCCCTAGCAGGGTTCAAGGTCAGTTCGGACGGGGCTTGGAGCAAGCTGCTCTAGCGGAAGGTGTCCCTGCCCATGGCAGGGGTTGGAGCTGGAGGAGCTTTAAGGTACAACCCAAACCACTCTATGGTTCTATGAAACTAGGGGATTATGATGGGTTGGACCAATCATGACCAGCTTTCCACCACAGAAACAACAGCAGAGAGCAAAATGATTTGCCACAGGGTCACTGTTCTGTGCTAACCTGCTCTGCTGTCCTTTAGAGACCAGCTTGGATGGAGATGGCTTATCTGGGCACCAGGGAATATTAGCCTTAGAAGCACAGCATAAACTTATACTGATAAAGGAAACATGGCTTCAGGTCAAATAATGAGGGCTGCACTATAAAAGCTAAAATCTGGATGGACAAAACAGACTTATGACGGTTGGGCACCAGGGTAGCACTGCTGCAGCACAGGAATGGAACGACCTGGAAAGCCGTTAACAGCAGAACATAAACCCCCTTTACATCACCTCTGAAATGCCCTTTTCAAGAAGAGGGGCATCCTCTGAGCTGAGCAGCTCCAGTCAGAAGAAACAAAGCACTCTGCTCTCCTCCATCTCTGAAAGGCTCCCAGCAAAGGCAGGGAACATTCATCTCCTTAAATTCAGAGCAACTGAAGGTTAGGACATGGGTAACAGCCCACAGCACAGTCAGATGCACAGCAGGAGGGAAGAATTCACAGCAGAAGAGGACACAGGGAGCCTGCAGTCATTCAGCACCTGTATCACATCACTGCTCCTCTCATAGCCACAGCACGTTCAACCACCGCAGTCAGTTTAGAGGAGCAGACTGACAAATACATCACAACTATGGACACAAAGGGGCAGCAGAGTTAGGCTTTATGAAAGTATTGAAATCTCGCGGCAAATCTCTGCCTCACCATGGGCAGGGAGGCAATGAACTGCTTTGCAGCAGCAATGTCAGTTACCAAACGATTTCTTGGATAGACATTTATTGCAGGTAGTTTTTGTTCCTAGTTCTCCAAGAGTTTAAGGCACAAA